AATAATGGTTTCCTCCCAAAGACGATGTCTTTGAAGGACCCCATACATCTGAGTGAATATAATCTACAATACCTTTTGTATTATGTATAGTGGTGCCAAACTTCACTCTCTTCTGCTTTCCCAGAACACAATGCTCGCAAAAGTTCAATTTGCAAGCCTTTGCACCTTTCAACAATCCTTTATTTGCCAGAATTTGCAAGGATTTCTATCCAGCATGTCCCAACCGCATATGCCACAACTGGGTTGCGTCCAAATCATCACATCCGAAGCTGCTGCAACTGCTCTAATAATTGTACTACCTTGGTAGTAATACAAATTATTTTTCCTGATTCCCTTCATCATCACAAGTGCGCCATATGTGACTTTTAAAACTCCATCTCTCATAGTGACTACTGAGCCTTTGGATTCTAAGGCTCCCAACGAGATGAGATTTTTCTTCAAACTGGGCACGTATCAGACATCCGTCAGAACTCTGGTTGATCCATCTTGATTCTTCAATCGAATTGAACCTATCCCAACAGTTTTACAGGCATTGTCATTGCCATATAAACAACTTCTGCATTTAGTTCCACTAAATCGGAGAACCACTCCCGATTAGGGGACATATGATAGGATCAACCCGAATCTAATATCCACTCATCGAAATGGAATATTGTTGATGAAGCAACCAATGATATGTCAGAGTCATGTGCATCATGCTCTGCAACACATGCATCTGGAGCAGCTTTTCCTTTATTCTTCAGCTTCGGACAATCTTTCTTCCAATGGCCTTTCTCATGACAAAAGACACATTCATATTTTCCCTGTCTGGAATTCGACTTTGATCTCCCTCTCCACTTTGGCTTTTGACTTTTCGAGCGACCTTTTGCCACCATGGCCTCTGCTGCTTCGTACTTGCTCTCCTTCTTGGTTTTCTTCCTGAGTTCATAACTATACAAAGCAGCAGTTACATCTTTAAGGGTAACATTATCCTTACCATGAAGTAACGTTGTCTCAAGGTGCTCAAATTCATCTGGAAGAGATGACAACAACATCAAAGCCAAATCTTCATCTTTGAAGGTTTTATCCATGCCCAATAAGTCTTCCACTAGCTCATTGAACGCAGTGATGTGTTCATTCATACTGATGCCTGGTTGATAATCAAATCTGAACAATCTTTTCTTCATGTGGAGATGATTCTGAGAGCTTTTCTTCAGGAATTTTTCCTCCAAACCTTTCCACATCTTACTTGCAGAAGTCTCGTTCTTGTAGCCATACTCCTGCTCCCTGGAAAGACAAGATCGAATCGTGCTGCACGCCGAACGATTGATTGTTCCCCATTCTTTCTCCTCCATATATTCGGGCTTTTCTTCCTCAATGGCGATGTCTAGACCTTGTTGGAATAAAGCGTCTAACACCTCGCCTTGCCACATGCCAAAATGATCGGATCCATCGAACAACTCCACCGAGAAATTTGCATTTGACATCACCCTCCTCACTGGTCCAGATGAAGAGCTTGATGTCTCAACTGATCCGTATTTTGGCATTTTAATTCTAACGAACAATATTCAATATCACGAACTGTATCTTTTCAGCAACGGAACCACCAGGATAACCTCAACCGAAGCTCTGATACCAATTGTTAGAGAAAACGGGTTATTTACCACACAAACGTAGTTTTAAAATTGACCTAAAATGTCAAGATTAAAACCACCAAAGGTTGCACAGCGGATAAACCTGTCAAACTATTGAATATTGAAACACAATGGAAAAGAACCGAATAAAAAACAATAAAGGAGAGAACACATCAAATTTACGAGGTTCGACGAGAATATCGTCTACTCCTCGGGCACCACACCGGATGATAACTTCACTATATCGCCAATATTACAACAAATGGAATTCTTTGGAATTCCCAAAGTGGGAGAATGAAGAATACAAGAGGAAGAGAGAACTTGTTTTTGGGATGATTTCTAATGGAAATACTTAGACCTATTTATAGTTGAGTTTCAAGAACAATATGTTCAAAGTTTGGCCACCAACCAAGATGAAATTTCCAATAAGTTGGCCACCAACTAAGATGAAATTTCCAACTTGTCAACTTAATTTCTAGACAAATCTAACAAGTTGTAATGGTAATATTTTCAGGAAAGCGAGGCATCTGCAACAAATGACCCGTGGTGCAATTCCACATTAAAAGAAGCTTAAACAAGCTTCACCATTGAGCTTAAAGGTGTCTTTGAAATCGGTGAGTCTTCTTAACCCACCCCACCCTTTGGACGGAATTCAAGCATCGCTGATTCTGTCTTTATTGTGATTCAGATACGAGAAGCAGATTTCAAACCCTTGATCGTTGCTTGAGTCGAGAGTATCGGATGTCTCTTCAAGGGATATCGAAGCAAATCTCTAATGACTTATGTGAGGTACAAAGCCTTTTAGTTTTTGCACTTCCCAGTTAATGAATAAAATTTCATTGGCATCATCAAATATATTGTGTGTGTTTATTTAGGGTGTTAGAGCACAAGTGGTGGACAAGGACTTCACTCCAAAGGTATCATTCCTTTTACATTTCAAACGCCTAATGATTTGTCTATCATGTTACCCCTTGAGGATCTAAGTTCAAGTAACTGTGTTTATAAGGTATGTGTATTATCAATGATTAAAAAAGTATGAACAAATATTACCTTATAGTCATTCCATGCTATTAAAAAAATACTATAACAACAAAATTAGATGTCTTGAAATAATTATTGGAGTTCATCTCTTAAATGGGAGGAGGAAGAATTTTTTTTTAAATAGGTGAAAATAAATATTGGTTGTTGATATTGTGTTAAAGTATGTTAATTTTATTTATTTATTCAATATTTTTTATATTAAATTAATAAATAACTTTTTTCTCAAATATTTTTGGGTATCACCACATTGTATGCCGACTTCCTCGATGATTGTCGGAACATGCCGTCGTAGATGCGGCCCAGCCTCCAAGCGAAAACCAGGGTCTTGCCAACAAGAAACTATGTTTTAGGGTCAACACACAATGTATAAATTTAGTTAGTGTTCTAATCTAAAACTTCGATAATAACCATCATTTAATTACTGAAGTTGTTTAATTTATACAAATCCGCTCAATATATAGATAATGCATTATATATATAATGCACTAAAAACTGTCACAATCATAATATAGTGTTTTCTTAGAAGATACCAATAATTTTATATTCAAGAATAAATCTGAGACCAAACCAAATGGCGTCATGCCCAATTCCCAATTCCTGCCTCATTGTCTAACTTTTTAACACCTGTTTTCCTTATTAAATTATTTCAAGCCTTGTTTGTTTTAACATTTATGATTTTTACGTTTTTCCTTCTTTTGTTTATATTAAAGTATAATTTATATTTTAAAATTTATTTAGAATTCTAATTGTATAAGAAATAAAAGACAGGAACAATAAATCAAAATATCAAATCAATTGATCATACTATTTTATAACTTATAGATATATTTTAAATATAATATTTTTTATTTACGTTATTTTTTATTAAATGTCACTTATAATATATTGTAAGAAATCTTTTGAAATTTCATTTACATAAAGATTAAAAAATTGTTAATAAAAAATACAATATTAGATATAAAGATATTATTTTTATAATTTATATGTCTACAAAAAAAATATTGAACCCTAAACCTTAATCTCTAATCCTTAAACTCCTCTCACTTAAAAGTATTTTATTTATATTAGTCTCCTAATTACGTACTAATTTTTTTATTTTTTAATCTTCGTTATTGTAATAATAAAAAGGTCTTATTTTATTTTATCTTGGGTATACATATAAATTATAAAAAATGATAATGTTATATTTAACATTTTGTTTTTTATTAACGAATTTATAATCTTTATACAATTGAAATTCGAAAAGATTTCGTACTAAGTATTATAAGTAATATTAATTTAAAAATAACGTAAATAAAAGATATTATATTTTAAAAATATTTATAAATTATAAAATAGTATAATCACTTGATTTGATTCATTGATTTATTATTATTGTCTTTCATTTTTCATACAATTAAAATTTAAAAGAAATCTTAAAATATAAATTATACTTTAATATAAACAAAAAGAAGGAAAACGTAACATCATTAATCCTAAAACAAACAACCTTTCTTCCTCCCCTGTCTCTTCATTTTTATTTTTCTTTATAATTTGTGTTAATTTTATTAATCAATTTATTTTTTTTTAATTTTATTTAATCGACGACGACATTAATTTTAATATTGGTCCGTTTAACAGTTATTTTTTTTGTTTTTTAATTTTTAATAAGAATAGTTATGTTTTTATAATATGTTATCTGTCTTTATAACACATTTATCTCTATATTTGTGTACTCTTTTCTCTACCTTTTGGTAGCTTACGATTTTTTTGCCTTTGTTTACGATTTTTTGTCATTTTCGTTTATATTTTTTTCTTAGGGTTGTATTTGAATTCACCATGACTAATCAAGATGACACTTATTTGTTATCATAATGATCTTCCATGCTTTGGACCATCGATTTGGATATGTGTTTTGCATTCGTTGATAGTTTTCTCATGTCGCTTGACTCTGATTTACAATTTGTCAATGATATTTCAGTAGCTTCATCCCTTTTTGTAGTTCGTTTGCCGGTGTAGTCAGATTTATTTTTATCTTTATTTTGTTCAAGTTTTTTTCTTAATTTTTTAACCATTTCCTTCTTTGGTTCTTATGTGATATTGATGGCTACTTTTTATCTCAATGATAATAAGAAAATGTTATAATTATATTTTTGGTTTACCGTTATGTTTATAAATCTTCATTGTAATTTTAAATATTTTATATTTTTAATAAAACTATCGAGTTTATATAAATGAAAATAATGCTAAAACAAACAAGGTTTAAGATAATTTAATAAGAAAAACAGGTGTCAAAAAGTTAGATAATGAGGCATGGATAGGGGCAGGGGGAATGGGAAGGAGATTTTGCTAAGGTATCTCTGGTTCCGACAAAAAAAGGAATGGCTAGAATCTTGAACATAATTTAACCCTTGAACCTTTCTGTGCCTACAACAGCAGCTGCAAAAGCTAAGCTTTGATTACTAAAATACTAACTACAACAGCAGGTTGCAGAATCATGGGAGGAGGAACCATGCAATTCGACCTTCCAAAGTTTCAGTTCAATTCTCCTTCCTCTGCTCCCCCTTCTGTTTCTTCTCCCTCTCCAAATAATCTCAACCTTTCAGTCCCATCCAATTCTTCTTCTCCTTCTTCACGTCAAAATGAAATTTGTAAAAAACTAGAGGCTGTAGCTGGAAAGGAAAAGAAAACAGGAACTGGGTCCTTCAATAATTTTATTTTGGGACCAGTTCCATCCCAACCAGAAGTTGAAAATGCCTTAGCTGCTCTCCAGAAGTGAGTTGGTTTTCTAACTTTTTGCAGTGTTATTTTTGGGTGTTTCTCTCTCTTTCTCTCTCTTTATTTCTCATGAGAGTTTTTATGCTTTGTGGGCCAGTTTCATACACGGGGTTTCTTCATCTAGACCAGAATTCAAATGGATGAAGCCTCTTTTGGATGGCTGTGACTCTAGAGAGTTGCTATCTCAAGGTCTCGGCAGAGTTTACGATGGGTTCATCTTGCTCATGACTGAGCCATCTATAAAGGTGCCTTACGAGTATATTTCTTTTACCAGATAGTTCCTCAGAAAGCTCTTGTGACTATGTTTTTTTGTTGAATCGATATGCATGTAGAGGCTGGTCGTTTCGCTATCATCTGATAAAGCTGTTTGGAATGCTATTATGAACAACGAGTTGGTTCGGAAGCTCTGTGACTCGCCTGAGTCTCCACATCCTGCAGGTCTGTTTCTGATAGCCATCATATTTTGTTTCAAAACAAAGAACACAGCCTGAACCTGTTAGACAAAAAAAAAGGTCACTGTCTGTGTTTCTTGCAGTTGAAAATAGGTCTGGGAATTCTAGCTCTGAAACAGACATCGGCAATGACATTTTGCAGTGGATTTTGGACGTTGCAAAAGCTAAAGTTACAGAGCTTGTATTTCGATTCCAATCTCTTTTGAACGAGGTTTTTCAAACTGATAAGAGAGAGAAGACTAATGAAAAAAGAAGAGATCAGTTTGAGGAAGAAATTAGATCATCGTTGATTCTCTCAGTGGCGATATTGCTGATCGTGATTGTAGCTCGGTTTCAAAGATTCTAATCAACACAACTTAAAACCTCTGCATTGAATCTGCATACTGTAAATGTATAACAATAGGAAAGTATATGCAAGTAAATGCGCTACTGATATTTGCCTTGAACCTGAAGAAGATGATGCAATAATGTGTACGTTCTTGTTGATAATGGGAAGACTCTCTCTAATGGCCCTGTTCCATTTGTCCCATAATGCTCTTTCGACATTGCTTGCGGAAGTTGGGCAGAGAAAAAGACATGAACACTCAATGAAAGATGATGCTCGATTGAAGTCTAATATACGATTGTGTATATAGCTGAAAGTTAGGCATATCCAAATGCATGACGATGATCGAAGAGTAGGAGAGGAGTCGATTTTGTATTTAGCTCGACTGCTTAAATTCTCAAGAACTCAAAAAAAAATTATTAAGTTAAACGATTACAAAGTAGTAATATGTTATAAATACTCTTTAATTATTTGACAATGAATGCTCAATCAACCATCTGCTACAGTCGTTGGTGCTCGAATTCGTGATCTCTAACAACAACGATTCTTTTAACCTTGAGGTAAGTTGATTGGTGCCAAAAACTTAGTTGTTTAAAGAACCATTATTGCCCTTTTGGTTGGTATAGAGGAAACAGAATTCAACATTGCATGTAAGATAGTTCAACAGTCTGTCAAATTTATAGTCTTCATTTTCCTACAACAAATTCATTAATTTCTAATATCCTGCTCAATCAATTGACCTGATCTAATAATTAATTTATTAAAACATAACATTAAGTATATTTTTAAAATAAATAACAATTAAATGATTAAAACAAAATAAAGATGATAGTTGAATCATTAAACGTGTAGTTTACCCAAAACCGTCTCCTAATTCACAAAAGTACCTTCTCTCAATATTAAAATTTCGTAAGATTCGAATACCCAAAACTAGGGATGTAAACGAGCCGAGTCGAGCTCGAGTATTGCTAAGCTCGACTCGACTCGAAAACTCTGAAATAGAGCTCGATTCGACTCGAAAACTCGCGAGCTTAAAATTTCAAACTCGACTCGAATTCGAAATCCTAAACTAAAGCTCGTGAGCAACTCGAAATGAAAAAAAAATTCTTAAACTTAACTCGATTGAAGCTTCAAACTCAAACTCGAACATGAACCATAAATACATAAAAATCTTACTGTATTTTTTTAAAAAAATCAATACATAAATATTAATATTATTAATAATTTATTTTCTAAAAAAATAAAATCTTAATATATTATATTTTCGATTTGCTCACGAGCTTTTCGAGTCGAATATCGAGTAGCTCGTTTCGGCTCGTTAAGAACTCGAGTCGAGCTCGAGTCGAATCCATTCGATCCGAGTATTTATCGAGCCTTAATCGAGTCGATCTCGAGTAGCTCGCGATCTGTCTCGTCTCACTTACAGCCCTACCCAAAATTGTCTCCTAATTCACATAAGTATCCTCTCGAAATATTAAAATTTCCCAAGAATCGAGGTATACGATAAAAAAATTATTGTTATTATTTAAGATTTTGAGTTTTATTATTATGATGTTAAATGTAAATGTTTAATGTAAAATGATTGACATTTTTTAATTGAGATGAATCATTGTTTTCGAACGGATTAATTGGTTAGGCTTTTGTTATAAGAACAGTAAAGTTTTTATTCAATCAGATTAAGATTAAGATTTCTTTGAAGTGGATACACCGTTTGGCCTTGAAGTAAAGGAGGGATTTTAAGAGATGTTTGGTTTAGGTAATATGAGATTACCGGGAGAATGAAATCTCATTCTCCCGTTTGGTTGGCCAATATTCCCAACCTCTGGTAATCTTTTTTCTGACAGGTTTTTTTGTGTATCGAATTTGGCATTGTTATTTTTGGCATATTATATGTGCTTTAATCTCGTTTATGTGATGAAATGGATGCAGTCTGTATATTACTTCAACGTAATGCTTATAAAAATTGTTATCCGGACTGTGATTTGATCTTTTGAACTTTGAGGAATATCTATTACTTTAGGTGATCATGGATTCGATGCTGGTTTATTTGCTGCAAATGTTACTTAACCCCTTTTGCATTACTAACTACTTGTACAAACTCTCTCTCTCTCTCTCTCTCATGCTTTTGGCTGAACATTGCTAGTTATTGGACCCTCCCATGTGCTCGGATGCGAATATGGGGATTATTGTTTTTTGCAGCATGTTTTCTTGGGGTTTGGGTAGGTTGATTTGTCTATGGTGATTTGGAAGTTCAACTTCATCGTCTTTATGGGTGAAACATCCATTAGAACCAGAAACCTCAAGCCCACCTCCTTTTATATGTCTGATGCAGCTTGATACTCGAGCTGCTGCAAAAGTTAGAAACTCAGAAGGTTGAGTATGCTGCTTTTGAGAACAAGTTCATTCAACAGAGGAACAAACAAAAGGCATATGATTCTACATTAAAGGTGGTGAACAAATCTTGGGAAGTGGTGATACCCTGTTCTAACTGTTAACAAGTTTGTGCATTTTTTGCTTACTAGAAAAGATGACAATCGTTTTTATATCTTTTAGGTTTCTGCTTTATATGAATTGGTTGATGGGAAATTGACATTGCCCTTTTCCAATAGCTGATCACTGACTTGGAGTCGTGTGCCATCCACATAAAGGAATATGGAAGACAAGATGGTAAACGTGCACCTGATACATAGGATGAAACTTTTCTTCAATAACCCATGCTTTGCTTTCTTTTATTATTGTCCTAGTCCTCTGCTATGAACTGTGAAGATATTTCCAAGGACTATGCTTTTGTCTTGTTATAATTTATATGTTCATGTTAAATTTTGCAATTCTGAATATATTTACTGAGAAGGCTTTTGCATTACTATATAGATAGGGTCGTATCTCCTACTGAGGATGCTTTTCTTAGCAGATTTTTGGAGGCAGGTGTGTCGAAACGATTTTTTTCAAAATGTGAAAAAGTGAGATTTAAAAAAAAAACACATTAATTCTTAATTATTTCTTTTTAATTTAAAAACAAATGTGATTTAAAAGACCTCTCGTTTCGAAAATTTTTGGATTTCCTTTATAATCGAAAAATACGGTTCAAAGAGTCGCCACCAATCTTTGATTAAGGTGTGATTGGGCACCCAAAAATGCTTTGTCATTTTAAATAAAAATTAATTTTAATTAAAACAACAAATTGAGGTATGCGTTACCAAAATCCGAGTTCGGGAGTCAGTTACGTGTAGGGAAGGATTAGCACCCACAACGCCCTAAATCGGTACCTAGTCGATTAATTAACGTTTTTGCAATGAACTTTATAAATTCGATCTTAATTTGATTTTTGATCCCATAAAACAAAAATGTAAATTTAAAACATTCAAGAACACTCAAACGAATTAAATTAAAATTGCCAAGTCATTTTAGAAAGATAAAGAATGTTCGATTATTTACAAATATCGAGACCAGATCTTAAAGATATAACAACCTTTTATCGATATATTTAAATAAACGAACATTTCTTTTTCTTTCATTCCCAAATTTTAGGTGACGAATCAATTTTTTTGTTTCACTTTCGGGATACACTTTTATTTTAAAATCATTAAAAGCGGGCCTCAAATCAGTTATGACTGCCCACTTAATACAATTTTAAATTAAAAGTGTATTACCCTTAGTCTGATTATGTAATAGGTCGAGTTATGCAAATGAGGTTACCATGCTAATCGTGTAAAAAATGTCATGTCAAAATTGATTAAACAAAATTAAAAAAAATCGTTCAACGTGACATACAAAAAATCATATACACATATTTTAACTAAAAAAATCATAAACCATGCATATTAACATATTATGTATACATGTGACCTAAAATATAAAAACAAAATCATAGCATGCTAAACTATAAATTAAAAAAAAGTATATATATATACAAAATATAATGACTAAATTCAAATACACATAAAATTAAACAACTAATTAAAGAAAAACAAACATAAATATAATGGACTTAATCCTAAAATAAAGTATGGTGATATGGTACATACATGCATACAACGACATTGACATACATTAGAATTATACAATAAAACATACTATTAATAATTCGATTTCATATTCAAAATTACCATGAAGGACCAAAATAAAATAAAATAAATATAGGAATGCAAAAATATAAATCTAACAATAAACTAAACGAACATGCCATAGGTCCAAAGTGTAAAGAAAATAAACAGCAGGCCTTTTCCATAAAAATTTCATTTCTAGGCACCTCAAACCTAATATAACCCAAGTGTTACATGGGACCAAAATGCAAGTTCCCAAAATTACATATCAAATGTAAAAACAGTAAGAAAATAGCCCCAACACAACACTGGACTGAAATGAAACACGGAGAAAATTAAGAGACAACATTAATATACTAGCAAAGCTCGATTTAGGGATCAAGACGATACAGTTCAAAGCTGAGAGGACCTATATAGATATTACCCCAACTTCTAAAACGCAGTTCATCTCCCCCAGACAACAACACGCTGCCGTTTTGACCCTCTGGAATGACGCCGTTTTGGCATACAAATATATAGGATATATGGGGTGAATATTTAACCTAATTTACTTCTTCTCTCAACCTCTAAGCCAGACAACTCCCCCCCTCGCCGCTTTTCTCTGGTTTTTTCCCAACCTCACCTTCTTCATCCTTCAAACCCTAGACGAAGCGTAGCCCTCAACCATGGCAACCATCACGATTGCCACCTCTAAACTTCCCCGACAACTAGCCTCTCAACCGTTAAACCAAAGCCCCAATGCCTAAGCTCTAATCGAACCCTCGAGACCCCTCAAAACCAAACCTACGTCCACTGTAGGTTTCCTTCTCCCTAAGTTTCGACGAGGAAAATGACAAGAACCCCTATATCCGAGGACAATCCCGACCGAGACCTACTTAAAACCCATCAAATAAGGTTTAAAACCAACATGCATGACTGGAAAATAACAAAAAAATGAAGGATTTACCTTCTCACGGGTCGTGGGTTCCTAGAAAAGACGACCAAGGCTTCTGGATTCAAGAGATAAGTCTTTTTTCTTGGTTTTTTAGAATGGTGATTTCTATTTTTTTGGATTGTTTTTGGTTTCGCTATGGTTGATTGTTTTTCTTCCTCTCGTCCTTGTCAATGGCTGTTAGTTTCTCTCTTTTTTTTCTCCACTACTGCTGATGATAGATGTTAACCTCTTTTCCTTTTGTTTTCAGTCCATGCCCCACGTTTCTGGTAGTTAATTGATAATAGAAACCGATACTTTACGGTTTTCTTGACTGCTCGACATATCTTTCTCTATTGCTAACGGTCCTCCCCACGTTTTTTCTGGTTTTT